TATGGTTTGAATAAATTTTCTAAGCATGACAAGAACAACCTGCAACCTACAGGATGCAAAATTTATGCACATGTATGTTTTTCATACAGTCTCCCTAAGCCAATTTAATTGAGATGAGTTTATATATTGATTTGGTATGAGTATGTTGTATTAAATGTTAGGTACTTTATATTAGGTCTAGTATGCATGACCGTCAATCATACACCTATATATCTTCATATTTTATGATTGTGATCCTGGCTGCATTATATATTTGCTATACTGTATGTTTGCATTTTTGCAATGTTTCGCTTAGATTTTGGTAACCTAGAGTTATAAAACTTGCAACTGACCGATTATAATTGTAACAATGACAATGTCAATGGTATTGACAATCTCATGTTAATGCATGCTATCACCTGTTATTTTCTGGCAATGTGCACTATAGATCAAATGTTTTCATAAGTAATACATATATTTATAACCTCCATTTTTAATAAAATTGTACAAAATTTCCGTGCAAGCAAGTTGTTCATTCTGCAGTGTGTCCCAGTGGTTTCCACTTCGACCCCTGCTAAGATCTTCTATTCAAATTGACCAGAATAAATAATCCACATCAAAAGTCCATGTACAGTACATGTACTTCATCGTACGAAATGAAGCATAACTAACTGTGCAAGTTTGCAACAAATAAATTCAGGTGTAGTTTGTGAACAGTGTGGTTCCATATTCATCTGGTATGGTGTAAACGTAGTCTGAGTTTAACATTTTGGTTCAATTCCGTTCTCTGAAACATTGTCAAAATAAGCAATGAAACAAAACACCGCGTCACAGGTTTACAATCCTGATTAAGGTGGCTCCCTACAATTTTTGAAATATGACAAAATCGTGATTTAGATTTAATTTTTAATCTTCTGAAGAGATGTTTCTTTTCAGAAGACAAAAATTGTACCACATATATTGAGCAATCGTCCAAGAGTTGAAAATTGTTTACAAAAATGACGTCGCTACCGTTGTTATATATGGTAACAATGACGTTTATGGCCGACATTTTACCTTTTAACACATTTTACTCGAAACTTGAGTAAAGTACATTATAATGTGGCTTTATCAAGATTTAATTGTTTTATAAAGGCAACTAAAGGTATATCATGATTAAAGATGTATTTAAACAAGTATTAAATGTCGATAAAGTGCGAACATACCATTAATGCCTTTAAACACAATTTTGTACGTTTAAACATACCTTTAACAGATTTAACCTAATGTGTAAAGGTCAAATAAGGTATGGATTTCTTTAATCAACTTTAAAGATCACATATAAACTTGATTAAAGTATGATGTGGCTTTATCAAGCTTTAATTGTTTTTGTAAAGGTAACTAAAGGCATATCATGATTAAAGATGTATTTAAACAAGTATTAAATGTCGATAAAGTTCGAACACACCTTTAATGCCTTTAAACACAGTTGTATACGTTTAAGGATACCTTTAGCAGATTTACCCAATCTGTAAAGGTCAAAAAAGGTATGGATTTCGTCCTGTGTGGGCTAGTGTGGTGTCCGAACCAAAGGTGGACAGTGAGACCCTACCTGCACGCTTAAAGGAAATTATTAATATCCTCCATGGTTTCATCCAATGATTGTGAGTATCCTGAACTAAATTATCCTTACCTTTTTTACCTTGTTATTATCAACTTTAAAACTTACTAACTCAAATTTAAAATATATATATATAGTAGTCTAGCTTTAATTTATCAATGGTCAGTTAATCGCTCAAATGATCTTTTAACTTGAAATATGCTTTCCAATATTAGTGGTATGAACCATAGAACGTTTGGAAACAAACTTCTTAATGATGATTCCTTATACCATGTAAAAGACCATGATTTTATATTTTTAACTGAAACATGGTCAGTTAACACTAACAGCATTCAAGAAACATGCAGCCAAGAAATTAAAAAACCGAAAATCAGCATACTCAGATAAGATAAAAAATGAAATTATCAAATCGAGTGTAGAAATTCTCCTTCATGGTTACTATAAATTATTTAATCTCATCTTAGAATTTGGAAGTTTTCCAGACCAATGGTGTGAAGGCCTAATAACACCCATCTTTAAATCTGGAGATAAGAATGACACCAATAACTACAGAGGAATTTGTGTCACCAGTTGTCTGAGCAAATTCTTCTGCATAATTCTTAATGAACGCCTAAATGGCTATGCTCAAGAAAATGACCTGGTCCACCCATCTCAAATTGGATTTCAATCTGGTCACAGAACTGCTGACCATATCTTCACTTTAAAAACACTTTTTGATAAACACATGAGCACAAACAGAAACGACAAAGTTTATGCGTGTTTTGTGGATTTTAAAAAAGCGTTCGACTCAGTATGGCATGAAGGCCTATATTTTAAACTCCTTGAAAACAAAATTGATGGAAGTTTCTTTAGACTGATTAAAAGCCTCTATGCAAATTCGAAATGTGCAGTCAAGCTATCTAAGTCAAGAACAGAATTCTTTTCATACTCTAGGGGTGTACGCCAAGGATGTGTACTAAGCCCAATTCTGTTTAATTTATACATTAATGAGCTAGCAACAATATTTGAAAATACTAGCTCAGACCCATTTATCCTTCCAAACGGCACTAAACTGAGTTGTCTTCTATATGCTGACGACTTAATAATATTATCAAAATCAAGATTTGGACTTCAAAAATGCCTTGATGAACTTCAAAACTGGTGTAATAAATGGCTGATGGAGGTAAACCTCAAGAAAACAAAAATCATGATCTTCAAAAAAGGGAATCCAAAAATGATTAAACCAAATTTTATGCTAAATACCAAAAATGTCGAAATAGTAAATGAATATTGCTATTTAGGTATTAAATTAAATTCAAATGGCACTTTCACACTGGCTCAAAAACAACTGAGCGAAAAAGCACTACACGCATTAGGCAGCATACGAAGACACCTCAACCTACATTACCTTAATCCTAAATTAGCTATCAAGATATTTGAAAGCATAATATCACCCATACTCCTATACAACTCAGAGATATGGGGTGCTTATCTCAAAAATGATTTCAACAAATGGGATAAGTCACCAACTGAGAAGGCCCACCTACGGTTCTGTAAATTATACCTAGGTGTAGGAAAAAAAGCTAGCAATATGGCTTCGAGAGGAGAACTAGGAAAATTCCCTCTACAAATTAGTATATACAAACAATTATTCAACTATATAGCACACTTGAATTCATTACCTGAAACAGCAATTGCAAAACAAGCTTTCTTAATATCAAAAGACCTATCAACCTCGTTCCCAGGGCTTCAGTGTGGGACGAGGCGAGACACGAGGAAGCCCTGGTCCGGGCCGGTCACGTGACGTCAAAAAATGGCAGTATTTGACAGCTACTCGTCAAGGAGTGGCGAGATATTCTTTAATGAAATATACAAGTTTTCGAAACAAATGAATAGCCAAAAGACTTCTCAATCGATATTATTTATGTGTAGAGCGAAGTTTGACACGAATCAGCTAAAATCTATGAAGATCCCGTCTATGTTTTCTAAGATATACCAATATTTCTGGAGATTTTCAACTACAGGCAAAGCTCTGCATCCAAGCTGCATCTAGGCGTCTCCATGCAAGTGGTGATTCACACGAAATTTCCTTTCTCTCGTCTTGAACAATATGGCTATTGCTATAATTAATAATATTTAGTTTAAATATGCTCTTATAGATCTGACTTAGTTCAATATATTAAATAAACACAAATATAAAACCTCGCGTAACTGTTTACGCTGTACAGGAATATACGGTTCGCTTGTTTCGCCGGACACCAACACTTGCCGTTCAGGAGCAATGCTTGCCTACAAATTTTATCCCCTTCACAATCTTTGTTTTATTTTATCGTATAGTCGCAATTTTCAAGTATTCGGGGTATTCTGAAACTGTAAAACTGGGTGGCGTGCGAATCTTGTAGAGACTACATCGGCCTAGGCGTAGAGCTATTAAGTAAACAGGGCCTAAATTAATTTAGTAGTTTCATTTAATTATTTGTCTTGCTTTTATTTGTCAGTACAGAATATTGTAAATTAAAATATTACTACAATGCAATACGCGTAGTATTTCATCAGACATCTGCACTAATAAATACTGTACAAGGAAAATTTAAATAATAGTAGACATTTCTTGTTTTGTCAGGAAACACCACAGCTCACTTCGACACGGCTTTTGAGTTTTGTAACTGGCCGAGGCGAAAGTAAATCGTGCAGTCGGGAAAACGTCTTACTTTGAAAGATGATTTTGCAAAGCATACTCGTACACACAAGAATCATAAAAATACAAATGTTGAATTGTATTGTAATTTGTTATTGTCAACCGTCAAGTTCAGTTATTTTTAGACAATATGGTGTTAGCCAATCAGAATGCAAAAGTGACCGGCCCGGACCAGGGCTTCCTCGTGTCTTGCCTCGTCCCACACTGAAGCCCTGGGAACGAGGTTGAAGACCTATACTCGAATAATAAAATGTTCTTTTATAAAAATGCTATGGATATTTTAAAACACTACAAATGCCACTCGCAAATAGTGGATTTAGAATCAATATCTGTTCAATCATTAAATTCTATCATTGACACTGTTAAACAACGTTACATTACATTCTGGAAACACCAAATTGAACACTCGTCCAAATTATATTTCTACTCAACTTTCAAAAAGGAATACCAATTAGAAAAGTATCTTACCGTAATAAGAAACGCAAACCAGAGGAGATCACTGACTCGATTCCGAATAAGCAATCACAAATTAATGATTGAATGTGGTAGATACCACAACATTCCCCGAGAAGAACGAATATGTAAGCTTTGTAAATCAAACGAAATAGAAAACGAGGAACACTTTCTTATTTCATGTGATGCCTACGACAATATTAGGCAAGACTTCCTCACTGTTCTCGCCAACAATACATACCAAAGAGAACAAAATGCATCAGTTGACATATTAAAGTCAACTGAAAATGAAACGATTCTAAAACTATCCAAGTTTGTTCTTTCCTGTTTCGAGCTAAGAGATAAACGCCTTGAGACCAGGGATGCTGAACATTAAAGTTCAATATTATCGTATTTGACCTCTATCTTGTAAATAACTTCTTTACCTTATTGTAATCTTGTAATAGGTCGTATTTAGCCTGTAGTAGTTAACTTTAGTCTGTATGTTTAGTTATTGTAGTTAAAGCTTTAGCAATACCTGTAACTGTTGGTCATGCTAATAAAGTTATTATAGATAGATAGATAGAGCCTTACATGTGGTGCACTCTAAAAACAGGTGTGTTCAATTACACACCAAGGTGTGTTTAATTACACACCAAGGTGTGTTTAATTACACACCAAGGTGTGTTTAATTACACACCAAGGTGTGTACATTTTACACACCTTCCTATACAATTTTAGAAAACACACCTTTGTGTGTTAGAAAACACACCATGATGTGTTAGAAAACACACCATGGTGTGTAGCAAAACACTTCCGATCTGTGCTAAGAAACACACCTGTATTTTACACACCTTTTCGTACACAACTTTGATGCATATAAGGTGTGTTCAATAACACACCTTTTGAATGAAAACACACCTTGGTGTGTTCGAGAACACACCTCATACTAATTTGCAAAAACACATCTTGGTGTGTTAGATAACACACCCTACACCGATTTTGGAAAACACGCGTGCACGGTGTGTACTGAAAAATGCTTTTTAGTAACATACAATAAATCCAATCATCAATCACGGTAATGTATGCTATTAATATGTTTTTCGGATATATACAGTAGATGTAAATGGCGATATTGACTTTGCCTCGGACTTTGCCGGCGATATCAAGTTTTACGTGTCTAATAACCGTTTGATATTTGTTGTGTAGTATTTTATTCCTTCGCATGTAGTAAGAGCATTACTGGGACTATTTATTTTCTAAGAGATTAATCTGTCTTTAGCACACCATTAATATCTGAAATATAGGTAACTGGTCTTTTGAAGCTCTTCGGATCGAAAGAAACGAAAATTCTCACGATGAGCGCGATTTTACAGACTGGTGCCTAGTTTTCGTACTACGCGCGCAAAGCTTCCCGGGATAGCGTCATTTATTCACACCGCCATATTTTTCAAGCCTTCATTCTGAATTTATGGGTTCGAAAAATTCGCTTTTTTTAAGCGACGACGAATGATTTGAACGAAGAGGAAACAGCGGGCATGACTGAATAACATTCAGGTAAGCATATTGTTATGTTATATGTATAATGGAGCAGTTTTGAAAGTAAATATTCGCTATCTTCATTCACGAATTTTGAGCATGTGTTCATGTTTAAAATTTGAATTTGCCGCGACAATATTTGAATTAAAAAGATGATATATTAGTTTTATAGAAGGCTTACATTTGACTTTATATTAAATTATGTTTATTGTATAAAGGGCAACTAATATTTGTGTATATGAATATATGACAGACTACCAGATAACAATGTTTCTGGTATAAAGTATAAAATAATATAGCTTGGCATCTACTCAATCATCATATGCTCAACTACACATGTCCCAGCTAAACATGGTTTGAGAAAATGTAACCACTTGTTTCAAATCAACTGCTACTTTCATAAGTTTCTAATTTTTATATATCTAGGTTTTTTATGTCCAAATTCTTCAATCAATGAAAAAATCTATTTCACTGTTAGAGGTGTTATGCACCAGTCATTGAAAACCTATACAACTCAGACTGTTGCTGATAAGTGGGGGTTAAGTGCCAGGAAAATTTTCCATGCTACCGTAAACCTCCAAATATAAGCCCCCCCCGTGTATAAGCCCACCACCCCGTGTATAAGCCCACCACATGTACTAAGGCTCACCTCATTCCGAATATAACCCCCCCCCCGAATATAAGCCCAGTAGCCCACTACGTTATTCAACATTGACATTGTCTTTTAATTAACCCATTAAGCTGCGGAGCTTTCCCATTGACAAGTAAAATCGTCTGGCGCTAGACAAGTAAAAAATAAGTAAGGCACACTGGGGCGCATTGCGGCTTGATGGGTTTACCAGAGACATTGTCAAATTTTTTGGTCAACCCATTAAGCTGCAGAGTTTCCCCATTGACGAGCAAAATCGTTTGGCGTTAGACAAGTGAAAAAAAAGTAGAGCGCACTGGGGCGCGTTGTGGCTCAATGGGTTAATATAGCAGAGAACAATATTTAAAAACATTGTCTTTATAGCTTAAGTCAATGTCGTTAATTAATCAAAGTGCATTATTACTATGTGTTTATTTTCCTGTTTATGACTGACTTGTTTATTATACTAACACAAAAGATTGTCCATGTATAAGCTCTATCCCTCATATATACT